TATCTTATTTCAGCCTCACAAGAGACCAAAGAGAGTTTGACCGTAAAAAGCATCCATTTAAAGCAAGGGAAGACGCAGCTAAGTCTGATCTAACTACTTTGTTCCCTCTGACCCTCTTGAAAACAGGGAGGGTGGGAAGCTGGGCAGGTTGCGGAATTATGACCTGTTTATTGTGCATAATAACATCCACAAAACGGGGACCCAGAGCAGGTGAACCCCTGAGCTTTTTCAATCCGAGCCTTCGGTTACCGGCCTCGGGGCATGCAAAACCAGCGTTACCATCCTGCTCTCCAGTTCTTGGTCAGCCGTGAGAAAAGGGGGGGGGGATAAAAATAAATAAACCCACACATTTGACAAAATCGTCCCTTCAGTTGGCTTTAAAGTGGAGGCTGGTCATTTCAAATCTTATCGTCCAACCGCGGCGGCAATCATGTAAGGGATGATAACTGGCTAAAAGTGGGTTTATTGTTTACCCAAGAATAAAAGGTTTACCCAGAGAAGTTGTATTACAAGCCTTTAAACGGGGAACCGCGAAGATAAGTTGGGTCAACATTCAAATCGTGGCAGAAACCTGGGAACTAGCATTTATTCCTCCGTCTGGCTTCATCCTGGTTTTGTGGTCCCTTAGGTTTCCATGTACCAAAATCTCTCTGTCTCTCTCTCTCTCATCTGTATTTATCTATCCATCCATCCATCATTTATATCTAATCTATTATCTGTATTTATCATCTCTCTAATCTCCCTTTCTATTTGTATCTCTCTCTTTCTCTCTCTCTCTCTCTCTCTCTCTGTCATTTATCATCACTGAAGGTTTTTAAGAAGAGATTAGACAATTCACTTGTCTGAAATGATATAGGTTCTCCTGCTTGAGCAGGGGGCTGGACTAGAAGACCTCCAAAGTCCCCTCCAGCTTCTATTCTATTCTATTCTATTCTATTCTATTCTATTCTTCCATTCCTATTCCATTTGATTCTATTTTATTCTGTTTTGTTCTATTCCATTCTATTCCTAATCCTTTCTATTCTGTTCTGTTCCATTCTATTCTGCATTCTATTCTATTCTATATTCCAATCTATTCTACATTCTATTTTATTCTGTTCTGTTCCATTTCCATTCCATTCCATTCCATCTCCTATTCCTATTCTATTCTATTCTATTCTATTCTATTCTATTCCTTTCTTCACAACGATTCTGCTAGGTGGGCCCCCCAGGTGTGTTGCCAACCAGCTGCCCAATCCCAGTCTTGCCAATTCCTAGACGCCCCAAGCAAAGCTGCTATCTTGCCCTGGATCCCTCTGCTAGCCAGGCCCAGCGAGGGCCGGTTTTACGCTTTTATTTTTTGTTTTATTTGTAAAATTGATCGGCCGGCCGCCTTTCCTCAAAGTAACTCCGAGCGGCTTACCAGGCTAAAAGATACAAACGACATAAACTTAAAACAAACAACCCTCCCTTTTGACGACCCCGTCATCCCTTCCTCCTTCGGGGTAACAGAAAGTCAACCGCGGCAGCGCAAGTCAGCAGGCGCCGGTTCGCCCGCCTGGTGGGCACGCAGAGGAGCCCCGGTCCCTGCCCTTCCGCGCCCACCCGGGTCTCCCCGCCGAAGGCAGAGTCCCTCGGTGACCCCCCCTCCCCCAAACGGAATGTACCGCCTTCCAGGACGGCCCTTTCGCCCCCGCCGGCCGCCAAGGGCCTCTGAGCGTGCACAGAGCACGGGAGCAGCCGCTCCCAGTCGATCCTCTGAGCGTGCCCAGAGCTCTGGAGAGTGCCAAGGGCGCGGGTGCGATCGTCTGAGCTTGCAGAGAGCGCGGATGCAGCCGGTCCTCTGAGCGTGCCCAGAGCGCGGGTGGAGCCGCTCCCAGCCGAGTCTCTGAGCGTGCCCAGAGTTCTGGTGCCAGCCGGTCCCAACCGGTTCTCAGAGCGTGCCCAGAGCGCTGGTGCCAGCCGCTCCCAACCGGTCGCCTGAGCGTGCTCAGAGCGCGGATGCAGCCGGTCCTCTGAGCGTGCCCAGAGCGCTGGTGCCACCCGCTCCCAACCGGCCCTCGGAGAGTGCCAAGGGCGCGGGTGCAGCGGCTGCCAGCCGATCGTCTGAGCTTGCAGAGAGCGCGGATGCAGCTGGTCCTCTGAGCGTGCGCAGAGCGCGGGTGGAGCCGCTCCCAGCCGAGTCTCTGAGCGTGCCCAGAGCGCTCAGGCAGCCGGTCCTCTGAGCGTGCGCAGAGCGCGGGTGGAGCCGCTCCCAGCCGAGTCTCTGAGCGTGCCCAGAGCGCTCAGGCAGCCGGTCCTCTGAGCGTGCCCAGAGCGCTGGTGCCAGCCGGTCCTCTGAGCGCGCACCGAGCGCCGGAGGCGGCGTGATCTTCCCTCCGCCCTCCCCCGCCCGGTGTCTCCCTCCCCCCTCCGCTCCTCTCGCGCGCCGGCCAGGTAAGGCGAGCCGGGCCCGGCGCACCTGCCCGCCCCGCCCGCCCGCCCGCCGTCCCCCCCCCCCGCCCCACTCACAGCCAGTTGCTGGCGTTGGCCGAGGAGGCGGCCAGGATGAGCAGCGGCAGCGAGCGCAGCAGGCAGCGCGGGCTCATCCTGCAGCGGGGCGGGGAGCCCGGCCCTCCCTCCCTCCCTCCGCCCGGGGGGCTCAGGGGCCGCCGCCGCCGCCGCCCGCTCGGCCCGCCGGCCGGGGCAGCAGCAGCAGCAACAGCAGCGGCGGCGGCAGGAGCGGAGCCGGACTGTCAGCGCGGCCGGGCGCTGCCGGGATGCGGCGGGCGGGCGGGGCGCGGCCCCAGGGGGCGGCTCTCGGGGCGGGACGGGGACACCCCCGAGGCGGAGCGCCCGGCCGCCCACACGCGCCGCCCAGCCCGGCCGGGCTCGGTCCGTGGAAGAGCGGGAGGGCACCTCGGAGGTCTTCTAGTCCAACCCCCGGCTCCAGCAGGAGACCCTGGACCATTTCAATCAATCAATCAATCAGAGCTGGAAGGGACCTTGGAGGTCTTCTAGTCCAGCCCCTGCTCAAGCAGGAGACCCTGGACTATTTCAATCAATCAATCAATCAGAGCTGGAAGGGACCTTGGAGGTCTTCTAGTCCAGCCCCTGCTCAAGCAGGAGACCCTGGACTATTTCAATCAATCAATCAGAGCTGAAAGGGACCTCGGAGGTCTTCTAGTCCAACCCCCTGCCCATTCCAGACAAATGCCTGTCCAGTCTCTTCTTGAAAACCTCCAGTGTTGGAGCACCCGCAACTTCTGGAGGCCAGCACAACTGGCCTGGGGGATTCTGGGAGTTGAAGCCCCCCCCCACCAATCTACCTGTGACCAGGCTTGGGAAACCAGGCTGCTTGATAGGAAGAGGGCAGATGTCAATAGGGCAGAATGACGTCTCTAGCGCCATAATAATTAAGAAACTGGGTTTGAAAATCGGTGAGTAATGGCAGAGGAGGCAGGCGTGGTTCCAGAGCCTCTGGAATTAGCGGGTGCCACCTAAGCCGGGCAGAGCCGAAAGCCGAGCGAGACTGGAACCGCAGACAGGCCTTGGCCTGTTCCGGCTCTTCCTCTCCTCCGGGATTTGCCCTCACCGCGACTCCCTGCGCTTTTGAGAGGGTTTCCATCGGCAGCGGGCAGGAGAGCCTGCGCTGCGTCTGATCCCCAAAGTCTCCCCGGCCTCGCCCTGAAAGGAGAGTTGTGGCTTGGCTGCATTGTGTGCCTTTGTGATAGTTGCTGAGAAGGCTTCTCTTTTCTCTTTCTTCTCTTCTCTTCTCTCCTCTCCTCTCTTGTCTCCTCTCCTTTCCTCTCCTCTCCTTTCCTTTCCTTTCCTATCCTTTCCTTTCCTTTCCTATCCTTTCCTTTCCTTTCCCTTTCTTTCCCTCTTCGCCTTTTCCTTTCCTTTCCCTTTCCTTCTCTTTTCCTCCTTCCCTCCCCTTCCCCTCCACAATTAATCAGTGGAAGAGCTTTCCTCCAGAGGTTGTGGGGGCTGCCTCATGTGTCTGGAATGGTATAGTTTTTCCCTCCCCACGCAGGGGGTTGAGCTAGAAGACCTCCCAGGTCCCTTCCAGCTCTCGTTATTCTGTCTTCTCTTTGCCTCCTTCGTGCCCCCCCCCCAACCTTCCACCCAGCCTCTCTAAGCTATTCTGGGACCCTTGTCTAACTGCAGTTTGTTGATGAAACACAATCAACAGCCGAGGCGCACGCAGCCACCCAAACCGAGACCGAAGCCGCGTTTTGCAAAGCCCTTCTTCCCCACCCCCACCCCCCCACCCCCGATTTTGCAGAGGTGTGGTGCAGGCGTTGCGTGTGGCTGTGTTTTCGGACGCGAGTAATTGGTTTATTCCTGAGGTAACTGTATAAATAGCAAAGGGGAAACGCTTCCTGTTCCAAAGCAAATAGTGGACTGCCAGCCGGTTGGCTTCTGGCCACCGAAACGGCAAAAGGACACCGTGCATCAGTGTGCAGCAATGCGCAGCCGGCCTCCTCCATGCGCGCTCTCCGGCTGGCTGAAATACCTTCGCCCTCTCCCTGCAAACCCTCTGCTCCAATCATGGCCCATCCTTCCTTCGCAAAAAAACACCGGGCACCCTTGTCCTCGCCACGTGGACGGGCAGCGCCCCGGCGTGGCTTTGGCAAACGGCGACGGGTTCTTTGAACGTCACAGGTGGCTCGAACCGGCCTGCAAAATAGAGAGGCCTCCAAAAGAAGAAGGTGAAGGAAGAAGAAACACACACACACACACACACACACACACAGCAAATAACGTACCTCCTCTAAAGCAGATTTAGTCTACCTTGGCAGCCTGAAGATGGGTGGACTTCAGCGCCCAGGAAGAAATGTTTTGAATCTATCTCGATGGATGTTTGCTCCGGATTGTTGTTGTTGTTTTTTTAATTATTATTATTATTTGTGATTTCAGCCTAGCCTACACAATTTTTTTTTCTGTAAGCATTTTTTCTCTCTCTTAACACAACACACTTTTATTTAGTCTTTTCAAGAACGCAAACATCCTTGTACTGACTTCCCCCTCCCCCCCCCGCAATATCAGTTTTTAACATTATCCACGTCGCAAGATTGTACATAAGAAAACTTCCTGCAATGCAGGATGGTTTACATCGAGTGCAGGCAAAATATTGTCTTTACAGAGGGCGAAATGCTTATATTCCTCTTTTTTTCCCCCCACGTTTTCTCTCCTTTTTCTTCGCCTCGTCTCCTCAGCTCCAGCTTAGCAGAGAGAATTTCCCGAGGACATTTCTGAATTGGAAGATGGTTTTTATCTGCTCGCGTTGTATTTTGTACTCTGCTGAAGTAGTAAAAAAAAAAAAGTACAAGTAAAATGAACAGGTTTTTTAAAAAACAGGCAAAAGTTTTGTGCTGGGATTGATATCCTTCCCAGAGATGGTAAAAGTGCGATAGATAGATAGATAGATAGATAGATAGATAGATAGATAGATAGATAGATAGATAGATAGATAGACAGACAGACAGATGATAGATAGATAGATAGATAGATAGATAGATAGATAGATAGATAGAGATATATCTTGATTTTTATTCTGCGGGAAGTGCCTAGAGTCATGTCAATTGCTAGTTAGTCAATTGCATGCTGGTTAATTGTGCATTAGTCAATTGCATGCTGGTGAATTGCATGCTAGTTAATTGCATGTTGGTCTGTCATTTGCAACTTGGTCAATTTCATCTTTAACTCAGCCTGGAGTTTCTGGCTAGACTTAGTCATGGCGGTTTGTGCTGAGGGCCGGCCCCCATTCCCACGTTAGAGTCCACACTGACGTACCAGACTCCTTCCCTGAGAAGGGAGCTGGACTAGATGACCTCTGAAGTCTTCTCCATTCTACAATGCTCCTTCTTTGTTCTTTATTCTGACTTTGCTTGTCTGCACGTTCAGTTACGGGAAAGAGAGTCAAGGACCGGATTCACAACACGTCAGCCCTCGTTGGTTTAACCAGGCGTCCCCGTAGCATTCCCTCCTCCGTGAACCCTGGTTTGCAAACCCATCATAGCTGGGGGCTCCCCCACAAAACACGGTCTTTCCAGAAATGTGTGAATGTAGCCTTCTATTTTCCATCCAGGTTCAAGCCGCTTGCTCCGTCCCGGGGCAGAAAAATGAAGCGCCTGCTGTCATTTTTGCCTCTCTGCAGGGAAAATAAGGGAAAAAGACCAACACAAACACATTTGTGCCGAAAACAAGCGAGCTTTCGCACAGACGCAGGCTCCCCGCCGCTGGCTGTTGATGTCAAACAAATTGCAAACACAAACACATTTTGCTAATTCGGATCCCGCTCTCCCCTGTGGATTGGGCCACGGGCCACGTTCAGATTCCTGCCTGCAGGCTGAAAATTCATCCAATTGGTGGGACTAGAAGACCTCCAAGGTCCCTTCCAGCTCTCTTCTGCTTGAATTAGCTATTTGGTAGCATTGCCCTATGGCGATGCAGCTAGTCTCCCCCCCCCCTTTAAACCAAGCAACCCAGATTCAGTTCCAGTTGTGTCTTTCCAACACAATTTGGAACCCGGGGCCTGGGACCCCAGAGGGGAAGCACCGGGTGTCCCCTCCCTCCCTCCGGGCCGTCCCGTCTCCCCAGCCTCCCGGTCGGATTAATCTGGATCCCTTCTCACAACTGCAGGGGTGAAACAGGAACTAGGAGCTTCCCAGACACAAACATCTATTTTGGTCGCGCTGCGTAAAACCGTCCCCGCTGGAAAAATTTTTGACACGCGCCGATCCCTTTTGTATCGGCTCCCCAGCCCCAAACCCTAATTACGGCCCTGCTTGTAATCAAGACCCCCGTCCGTCCATTAATAAAAGAATAATTATGGAGGGGGATTAAGCAGGTTTATCGGAAACAGGTGGCGGGCAGCATGTGTGTCTGCTCCGCCGGGCAGCCCGAGCCGGGCCCGAGTTCCCTCCGTGCCTGGCCCGAGGGCTAATCTGCCGGATGGACGGGCGGGCGACGGGTCCTGCCCTTTGCTGCCCACCCCCCGCCCCGTCTAAGCCGTGCCCTTCCTTCGCTGGCGTGACTTTGTAGGAGTGCAACTGCAGTAAGCAACCCTCTTTCCTTTTTCTGCAAGAGAGCGCAAAAAAACCCCCAAACCCACAATCCCCCATGCGGGAGGCTCACGCCATTCCCTTTTGCGACCGTCTGAGAAACCGCGTCAACGCAGTCCCGCAACAACCCCGCGTGACTAGCTTAACAACGGCAGCGATTCACTTAAACGGGGTGGCAAGTAAGGTCGTAAAAAGGGGGCAAAGCTCACAACCGTCTCGCTTAGCAACGGAGACTTTGCAGATAAGGAGAAGGGCAAACATTCGTGACTCGCTGAACAACCAAAAGAAATTTTGGGCACGGCGGCCGTCGTAAGTTGAGGACTTTGCTTGTTTTATGCGGACCGGTTGCTGGCGTGCCGCGGCCCGGTCCCGCTTCCATGGACCAGGTGGTTGGGGACCCCTGCTCTACCCCCCTCCACTAGCTCGAGTAAAACGCGTTCCCACAACCGGTTGATTTGGGGGGGGAGGAGGAACGTCTCGTTTCCGTTTTGCACATCCGCCCAGTTGCACAATCCGAGATTGTCCGGCGAGTTAGCGGTCTCCTGGTTTGATGCCAGCTCCGGAAACGGGTGAATGCCGTCCCGGTGTGCCAAGCAGGGTCAGGAAAGCCGCGTTGGGTTACCGCACCAATAGTGTAACTCTATCTACCTGGAATGTCGTCTTTCCAGCTTTCGAGCTGCATTCGGGACTCTTGCACGGGATTTTATATCCCGAGCGGGCCAGGGAGGGGAAAAAAAAAAAAAAAAGAGCAGAAGGATGCTATACCTGAGCAAGCCCCGCCCCTTCGCTTTCTGACTCCGCCCACTGACGCCGGGGACCCTGCGAGTCAGCTAGCGAGCGTCTGAATGTTGATCACGTGGCCCTGAGGTCGTTAAGTGTGAAAAACGGTCATAAGCCCTCCCTTATTTTTTCCTCCAGCGCCGTTGTAACTCGGAACAGTCACTGAATGAATTTTATTTATTTGTAAATAAAATTCCCCTTGACTTTGAAGGAGCCAGCGTCTCAACAGATGCACTGGCTTTTAAAAACTATTTTGATTTATACACCAATCTGGCAGCATCTGCCTGTCCCGGACAAACAGGAATAAATAAATATATATATATTTCCTCCCTTTTTTGGTGCTCATCTGCCTTAAAACGACCCCTTCCTTTCTCTCTCTCTCTCTCTTTTTTTCCCTAAAAACCTTTCTCTCCTCCTAAAGAAAAGAGAGTGCAAAAGTTAATTGCCCAAGCCATTCATTTTCATTTAAGGCCCAATGTTTGTTAACGGTCTGTTCTTGTTCATCAAAATAGCTTCGGCGATTGAGCCCTGCGATAATTGGGTTTTTTTTTTTAATAAAAAAAAACGCACACACAAACAAAACACGGCTTCTTTCAGACATAACTTTTCTCCTGCCCTGGCGATAACGCCGATTAAGAAAAGAAAGAAGGAAAAAAAAGCTTTTGATGCCCCCCCAGAAGGAAATTCAGCCCTTTTTTAAAAAAAATTTGCAGACAAAACTAAATGTGCAGCCCCCACTTTTCTCCCTTTCGAACCGTTTGCATCCTCCCACAACTGCGCCTTGATCTCCCTGCCAAAAGAAGCAACACACACAGCTGGATGTCAGCAAGCAGCCTTGGGTTGCGATGAGTCAAATGTTGTTGCGGAGAAAGGCAGAAAGGCGGCGAGGTCGTGATGCTCACCGGGGTGTGGAAACAGCCCTCGCCCCACGGCTGGGAGCCAGGTGGGGCAGAGCTGGAGAGAAGCGTGGCATCCCAGGGCGGGGAGGAAGGGACCCGGGAGGTCCTCTAGTCCAGCCCCCTGCCCAAGCCAGGAGCCCTGAGAGCATCCCAGTCGAATGGCTGTCGAGGCTTCTCTTGGAAACCTCCGGCGATGGAGAACTCACAACTCCGGGAGGCCAGGCGTTTTTTCACGGGATCGATCCTTCTTACAGCCAGGAAATTGGCTCTTGTTCCATCCACTGCTTCTTGTGCTGCCCTTAGGTGCTTTGGAGGGAGGGAGGGAGGGAGGGAGGAAGGAAGGAAGGAAGGAAGGAAGGAAGGAAGGAAGGAAGGAAGGAAGGAAGGAAGGAAGGAAGGAAGGAAAAAAGGAAGGAAGGAAGGGGATGGAAGAAGAAAAGGAAGAGAAGGAAGGAGGGAAGGAAGGAGAAAGAAGGAAGGAAAGAAAGGAAGGGAGGGAGGGAGGGAGAGGGAGGAAGAAAGGAAGGAAGAGGATGGAAGAAGAAGGAAGAGAAGGAAGGAGAAAGAAAGAAAGAAAGAAAGAAAGAAAGAAAGAAAGAAAGAGGAAGGGAGGGAGAGGGAGGAAGGAAGGAAGGAAGGAAGAGGATGGAAGAAGAAGAAGGAAGGAAGGGGGAGATAGAGAGGGAGGGAGGACGGAAGGAAGAGGATGGAAGAAGAAAAGGAAAAGAAGGAAGGAAGGAAAGATGCTGGATCCCACTGGATCCTTCTTCCTTCCGATTATGGGATGTCCTGCCTCCTCAACCGGAGACGCCACCCCGTCTCTGCCTTGCCCCGAAGGGCGGCCAGGATGATGGGCTCACCCAGGCCCTTCCCTCCAGCCCTCCTCTCTCCCTCCCTCCCTCCCTCCCTCTCTCCCTGTCTTCAAAGGGGCCTCCCAGCCTTTCTCTTGGCCCCAGCAGGGGACACTTTCTCCCCGCCGGCCGAGTCCCGTCTTCCGGAATGCGAAGGCCAAGGAGAGCTTTTCAAGTTCAGCCAAAAATCACAGTCGGCGGAGGTCAGCCGGGCCGACCCCGGCTTGGAGGAGAAGAAAAAATACGGCGGGGCCCGGGTCCCTCCCTCTGGGGGCCGATGCCTTGGAGGGAGCATCAAAGCGCCGGACGGGGGGGGGGACCGAGGCCAGCCCCGTCCCTCCCCTCCCCTCCTTTCCTCCTTCCTTCTTCTCTCCTCTCCTCAAAGTTGACTCCACAGCTGTCTTGCTTTGCAAACCTTGTGGCTGTAAGTCGAGAGTTGCCTTACGCACCTCTGAAAACTCAAGTGTTTTTTTTTTTTTTTTAATGGCGTAACGTCTTCTGGCTTGGCCGGGGGGGGGGGGTCAGACTGGAGGACCTCCGGGGTCCCTTCCCGCCCTTTATCTCTGTTTCTAACTCCACCTTTCCTTTTTTTTTTTTTTTTTGCATCTTTGCAAGAAGATGACTTTTGTGCGCAATGTTGTTTTTCCAGGGCCCAAATTCAAGATTTGGGTATCCCGGATCCCTTTCCTCCGGCCGTGCCCCATCCTTCAGAAGCCAGCCGGGATTATCTCGGCGGGCTCTCCACACACACACACACACACACACACACACACACACACACACACCCCTGTCCGCCTTACCTGTTCCAGGTAAGTCCCTTTCTCGGCCCCGCTTTCTCCCCACACCCTGGGCCTCACCCTTTGTATTCCCAGGCCTCCCTTGCCGGGACTTGCTCAGGTGAATGCCGCAAAAACGCTTCAGGGAACATTCCTGGCCACAAATATTTGGGTAATGTAGCTGCCGAGGGAGAACGGGGAGGTGTGTGTTGTGTGTGTGTGTGTGTGTGTGTGTGTGTGTGGGAAATCTCCCTGACTCAGGCGCTACAGGTAGGTTAATATGCTAAGGAATGCTGCTATGGGGGCGATCCGGCCGAGGGGGGCATGCCTGGAAGCATCTGAAGAGCGTTGAAGGCCCCCCCAAGGGACACCCCCATCCTTGACGATGGAAAAGCAAGGGGCTCCTTCGGTGTTTCTCCAGCTTCGCCCCCTGAAAATGGGTCTTCTGCCTTGAGCAGCAGGCGGTTAGACTAGAAGACCTCCAAGGACCCTTCCAGCTCCCGGGATGGGTGAACTTCAACCCCCAGAATCCTTGCTGGCTGAGGAAGTCTGGGCGTTGAAGTCCACACACACACACACACACACACACCCCATCTTCAAAGGGACAAAAGCTTGAGAACCCTGTTGCAGACCTTCAACCACGGATGGTCCCATCTCCGTTGACCGGTGGCTGACCCTCCTCCGATGCTGCCATCTTGCACCCCCCCCCGCCCGCATCCTATCATGGGTCCAGACCCCACCCCAAGGCCTTCTCGGATGCCAAACTATAGCCTCAGGGGAGGTCTTCAAGCCCAGAAGGACCATCTCAAGTTGAGGTTCCTCAAGGGCCAACCACCCTTGGCCACCCGGTGCCCACCTTCCCAAGGTGTCAGCCAGGTAGCTGAGGAGTCTGACAGATCCTTAAGCTGCCGGATGGATAACCGGCCCTGGTTGAAATGCCAGGAAGCGGGGGCATTTAGAAACACAGGCGCTCATTCACCGGTGCCGTAACCGGAGAAGCAGCCCCGAGGCCGGTTGGGATTAGCAAAAGTCATTAGCCCCCCCCACCCCCGCCGTCTTGCTCAGCTCCCAGAAGGATTGAGGGGCAAGGTCTTCTGTCCGAGGGGGATGGGGTGGGTGGGGGGCAGCCAGGAGCAAGATGAAATGTCCTGAACTCTGCTGGCTGGTCAAGTCCCCCCCCCCGCCCGCCAAGAGGATGGCAAAAGGTCTGGCTGGATTCTGGCCCCCAGTTGAAGGAGGAGGGTTTTTTTAGGGGGGGGGGCTTGTTTTGTTTTGTTTTGTTTTTTCAAATTTATCTTGGATCTTCTTCAGCCCAGCGGTGTTTTCAGATTCTGTGCATTGGGACCTTGTCCTTCCTTCCTTCCTTCCTTCCTTCCTTCCTTCCTTCCTTCCTTCCTTCCTTCCTTCCTTCCTTCCTTCCTTCTTTCTCCTCCCTCCCTCCTTCCCTTCCCTTCTCTCTTTTTCCTTCCTTCTTTCTTTCTTTCTTTCTCCTCCCTCCCTCCTTCCCCTCCCTTCTCTCTTTTTCTTTCTTTCTTTCTTTCTTTCTTTCTTTCTTTCTTTCTTTCTTTCTTTCTTTCTTTCTTTCTCCTCCCTCCCTCCTTCCCTTCCCTTCTCTCTTTTTCCTTCCTTCCTTCCTTCCTTCCTTCCTTCCTTCCTTCCTTCCTTCCTTCCTACCTTCCTTCCTTCCTTCCTTCCTTCCTTCCTTCCTTCCTTCCTTCCTTCCTTCCTTCCTTCCTTCCTTCCTGTGGCCATGGTTGAGCAACCCTGCTGTAGATAAGCCCCATCTGAGTTCCAGAAGCGTTCCAGAGGCGCATCTCCCCATTCACGGATCCAGCCCTTCCCGGAGATTAATTAATTCGGTATAATTAAACCGGAGGGGAGAGTAGGAACAGCAACAGGTGCCCAGAGCGCCCGGGATCCGAGTGCAGTTTTGGGGAGCAGAATCCAGATTCGAGGCTGGGTCTGCTCAGAGGAGGGGGGCGGATCCATGCTCGACTGCCTTTCCCCCTGGACGACAGGTGACCGCCGGGTCATTCCAGCCCCAGAGGGAGACGCCTCCTCCTCCTCCTCGAAAGAGGAGCGTGCCGGAGAAATCCGAAGCTGGAATACCGCTCGTAGCCCAGGCCATACCAAGGAGAGATTCCTTCCGGAGAAAAAGCAGTGAAAAATTCTTGCAGGGTTCTGCCAGCTGGGTGGGGAAGGATGCCCGGGGGGGGGGGGAGAACAGGAGGGGGTCAAAACCCCAGAGAGCCACCCAGATGGGTCTCTAGCACCAGTTTAGGGAACCAGGAGCCAAAAAAAAAAAATAAACAAAATTGTCCATAGAGTCCTTGAATTATGACAGTTCATTTAGCGGCCGCTTGAAGTTTCAGGGGCACGGAAAAAAGTGACTTATTTAGGATTGTTTTTCACATGACCATGTCAGCATCCCTTTGATTGATCTATCTATCTATCTATCTATCTATCTATCTATCTATCTATCTATCTATCTATCTTCCTTCCTTCCTTCCTTCCCTTCTCTCTCTCCTTCCTTCCTTCCTTCCTTCCTTCCTTCGATCCCGTGATCACTTGGCCACAGACTCATAGTTATGATGGTTAGTGTCCTCCACATTCCCTTCCAACTCTTGTTATACTGGGAAAAGAAATAGCATCTTTTCAGGAATCTGGATTTATTTTTTCTTAAATAAAAAAGATTCCAAGTCAGCCGGCTCGTGTGAACACAAGTCCTCTTTTAAACCAATCCGTCTGGGCTGGGATATCTTCGTTTCTTGCCCAACCATCCTTTTGTCAAGGGCCGCAGCTTACAGTTCATCGTTACAGCTCCTGTGTCGCATTTCCTTCCTGTTTCTCCCCTTAATCTCTCCCACCAACCCGAATTAACGGGCATATCGATACTCAACAGTTAATACTCGTATCTGATCAAAGAGATTTGCAGTCTGGGACAGCTTCTGCCCTACAGACTGTGCTAATTCTCCCAAGGAGAATGTCTCATTCTCATTATTATTTAAGATTTAATCTTCAGTTTGATTCATAGCCTGGGACTGGTAAAAGTATAACAGTTGTTTCACCTCCTCCTCTTCCTCTTCCTCCTCCTGGTTTCATCAAGAGGATGTTAAGATGTCTCAAGCAGAGCTGCGCCATTGAGTGCCACAGGCTTAAGGGCTTAGCTGGATACGGAGAGGCTGGTGGAAATTCAATCCCTGAGGGATTCTGATATCAGGTGTACCAGATCTGAAGCACCCCCAGCCTCATGTGCGGAGGGGAAGCGCGTTATCTGATGGAGATTCGGACTGGGGATCAAAATGCAGTTTGGGAAGAGCAGATTTGTAGAGAGGCCAGGCTGTATTTACTTGCAAAGAAGCTTAGATCTCTCTCTCTCTCTCAAGATAGATAGATAGATAGATGAAAGAAAGAAAGAAAGAAAGAAAGAAAGAAAGAAAGAAAGGGAGAGACAGAGAGAGACACACAGAGAGAGCCAGAGAAGGTAGGTAGATAGATAGATAGATAGATAGATAGATAGATAGATAGATAGATAGATAGATAGATAGATAGATGAAAGAAAGAAAGAGAGAGAGAGACAGAGAGAAACACACAGAGAGAGCCAGAGTAGATAGATAGATAGATAGATAGATAGATAGATAGATAGATAGATAGATAGATAGAT